TATTTTTAGGATTATCCCAAATCTATTTTATATCTAATGACAAATTTTAAATTTCAAAATGCTTAAAATAAACTAGATCTATAAACATATGAAAATCGTGAAAGTGGATGGTGTAGATAATATGTTGTAAAATGCACTATTTCTGAGACTTAAAATCTTTTTATTTTTCATGGTCATACACCTCGATGTCAAGATTATCAATCAAAAGGTTTTTCAACATTAAAACTATCTTTTACGATGGATTTTTGAGATGCATCTGTAGCTGTAGAGGTAAGATTGCAAACCTTATATAAACTTTTCCCTTCAATATTTAACCAACCCAATGTAAGATAACAATCCTCGATCAAGATGTATGATGTTCGGGAACTTTTGGATAGTCCCATCTTAGCTAGCCCCCACTTTTTCTTTTTCTTTTTCTTTTTCTTGTTCTTTTTCTTTTTTTGTTTTTTTAGTCCCTCCAACACCTCCATGTAAATTTAGTAAAAATATAGACCATGGTGCCAGAAATTTTTCTTGTCTATTCGTAAATTTCCATAACACCAGACGATCGTATTACAAGCGTAATAGGTCAGTAGGGTTAGAAGTGAAACAGAATGCGCAATAAATGTTAGTCCCAATAAAAATAATAATAAATAAATAAAATTGAAATCGATAAACAACTTACTCGGTTCTGTCATTAAATCACATGAGGGACCTAAGGTTCCATACCAAATCCCATAGACCAAACCATCCGGTGACAGGCTACCTTGATAATCCTCTAGGTGAATCTCCTTCGCCTCTTTTCTATTCTTCTCTATCTCTATTAGAGGGGTTAACCTCTTTTTATAGAGAACCATATTTTGTAACTCTCGCATTCATGGTCTATAAGAGTTGAGATTCAAATATAACTCGTCTTAATTTCCTTAAGTACGGCCAATTAAAATTAATAAGTTGTCACCAAACTGTTAATCCTATGCAATGAGTTAAACCTGCCATTAGTGCACCAATGACTCTCATAATAAGATGTCATCCAAGCATTCCTACAACTTAATAAAAAATATTTAAAAATTAAATAAATTTTGTACATCTATAATATAAAAATAATAATTCTTATAAAGAATCTAAACACATCACTGGGTTTTCCCTCTTATGACACTGGATTTTCCCTCTAGTACAACATCCTATAAAAGCTCCAAAATGGATCCTAATATATGACATTGCCTCATCTCAACCACATGGGATTTCACATATACTATACAATATGGCTTTTGTATCATTATTGAAAAATAAATTCTTGAGATAAAAGGGCCTAATAGGCCTTATTTTCAACATCTCCCACGTGGCCTGAAGGCCCTTTAATTTCTTGTACATGGCATTGTCTCATGCTTTCTACATGAAATTTCTATAGACCTTACCAACGTTGTCAAACACCACACTTGGATTTCTTGACCTCAATGATTTTGTATATAGCATTGCCTCATGCTACCTGCATGAAATTTCTCATATACCTTACTAATGTGGTCATACACCACACTTAAATTTCCTAGCCTCAATAACCTTGTATATGGCATTACCTCATGCTACTTGCATAGAATTTCACATATACCCTGTCAATGAGGTCAAACACTACACTTTGATTTTTTGGCCTCAATGGTTTTGTATATGGCATTACCTTATGCTGCCTGTATGGGATTTCTCATATACATTACCAATTATTCACCAACACGTTGAATTTTATTTACATCTATCTTTTAACCAAGAGAAAAAAGCCTATTGCTTTCGCTTGTTTCTTCAATATGTCATCCACGACTGATATTTAAGTCCAAAGCTTCTATTCAAATCATAGATCAAAATAATAAAAAAACAATAATAATTTCACAAAGTTGTTGGTATTATCATATACATAAAGAAATCTTTAAGTGGTCTCAAACTTAACAATAATAAAAGAAAGAAATATAATATCATTTCCTTTTGACATGTTCAATAGGTTTCAAATCGATGACGTTATCAAACTATTCAATAATGGCTCCTGCTATTCTCAATATGTGGTTGTCATAATAATAACAAAAATTAATCCAATATAGTCTAGCATGCTAGATCAGGCTCTCACTTTCTTAATGTGCATTGATAGTTATAGGGCTAAAAAATTCAATTCTAATTTGGTAAATGATGAGTTACTCCCACTATTTAATGAACAACTATCACCAATATGATAATTCCAATGCATCATTAAATATTTTAATGTCATTTGGACCTATACAAAACATAATGAAATGTCAATGATAATTACATCTAATTGAAAAATAATAGCTCAACATAACATCCTCATGGGTACAAATTTAGTTTTCTAAATAAACGAAAGAATACTAAGCAAAAAAAATACCGAAAAGTAAGTCATCACTAAGTTAAAAATAATAAACAACATTATCAATCTAAACAATAAAACGCTTGGAAGACCCCGCCAAAACCAGATTGAAATGAGCTAGTTGAAGCGGTTCAACTGGTGAACAGCCAGTTTCGATCGATTCTTTAAAATTTGCAGTTCGATGGCATTCAAGCCGTTGGATCGGCCAGTCCAGTCATGACATTGTTAACAAAACTTTGTTGGCCCAAGCCTCCAGATACATGTTTACTCACACACAACACAAAAGAGAAAGCATTATCAATTTCTGAAAGAACTCAGCAGTTCCTAACAGCTAAAAGTACAACCCTATTCTTGCAGGGTACCACCGTGTTTAGAATCAATGTGGATGTCTCAAATACATAATGCTTCTGCTGGAAATGCAAAAAAAATCAAGTAGAATGCTTCCACCCAAAATGCCCATCAATATTGCATCCACCAAAATCGTAACAGTGCTAAACCGATGTATCAATTTTTTTGTGAGGAAAATTCTACTTATATCTTCAGCTTTTCAGGAATTTCACATAATCCAGAACGCGTTCGTTGAGACAAACTGAGAATGAAAAATTTTGTGTGAATCAATTCTAATCTATTCTTCTGAGGCCAGAGTTGGAGTCTCAGTGCAGCTCTTCATGTTATGTAGAGTCAACATTTTCTCCTCCGGTCTGCAGAGTCCTGCAAACAGATAACAACTATCAGTTTAAGCAATCACCCAGAACATCCTGTCAATTAAGGAAAAAAATGTTGACCAAGTTTGATGTCATAAGCGAGGATCTTTTTTTGTAATCAAAGTAATAACCATGATTAAAACATATTGTATAACTTATTGATAAAAATAATGAGTGAGTACACCATATTTAACCAGTGACTATTAGATAGAACCAGACCGGCTGGTTCGAGCAGGAAACTAGTGAACCGCCAACTGGCGGTATGTCAAGTCGAGTCTACCATGATGGACTGGATGGTCAAATGCCAAACTGGCAGGACCTAAATGGCCTTGAAAAGAACCGAAAAATACCCATTTTTCAAATATAGGTTCTTTTAGTGATTTTTTTTTCTTTTTTTTTTAAGTTGTCTAGGGGCATTTTGATAATTTTCATTATAAAAGAATGCTTTGGATTCATTATGAAAGAATGCTTTGGAAAAATTAGAAACAAGATTTGGAATTTTAAAATTTATAAAAGAAATGATATTTTACTTTTTTCTTTCAAAACAAAGAAATAGATTGTTTCTATTATTTATGTTAGGGGTTGCTTTTCTTTTGTTGTTCTTTTCTTGAAAACAATTATCAATAAATACCCAACAAGTTATGGTAACTTTTGCTGATATAAGTTTAATCTATTGCTAATTTACATGGTAGCTTATTGCATTAAATGCTAGTCTTTGCTAATATGGTAAGCTTATTGTGTTCTTTGGTATATAAATGAAAACACAATGTTGTTTTCATTGTAGCTTTTGCTTATACGATCGAGTAAGTTAGATCCATTGCTTCAAAAAGTGCTAGGCCACACCCCAACACCTAGGCAGGCGCCCAGAACCAGAGCGGCCCAGTAGAAAGAAAAATGTAGTATAAGTATCTAAGTCTAACAGTATAACTATATAACACAATCTATAATCCATATTCCAATGAATGAGGAGAATTTAGATAGTCCATAATCCATATTTTCATACAATGCTAGAACCATACAAGCATACACAAAAGAGTTAGATAGTAGAAACATGAAACTGAAAATAAGAAAAAGAAAATATATATAAATTCAACAAATATATAATCTAAGACTCAATAGTCAACACCAACAGTCAAGCGTCCCCAACTCTTCATTCTTCAATCATTATCATCATCATCTGAAAGAGTAGGGTCTTACCTCATTATATGCATCAGATCAGATTTGAGGCCATCAGATTCATCTCCCTCTTCAACATAACATTTGTCCTCCTCTGTTTCTTCTGAATCTGCCTCTTCCTCATCTTCTTCTACCGGCCCTAGGAGTCTTGGCTGCTCTACTTGGTGTCTCTGGACCCTTTTCTTTGTTTTTGTACTTCCCTGAACTCAATATTGTATAATCTGCTCCCTGATAGCCTCAGGAATATTTTTACACAGAGCAACATCCCCTTTAATACCGGCAAGGTGTTTTTCTAACCTATAAATACCTCCATTAGTATTCTTTCAACAATAATTACACCTAATACGATTTTTGTTATTCGGATTCGGGTTATGACCATACTTCCAACGCAAATCACCACTTCTAGAAGAACCTGAAGAAGATATTTCCATAGAACAAAGCTCATTTTCATCCTTTTCTGACTCTACTAATTTCAAATATTGTCTAATATCATCCCGAATAGCTTCAAGAACCTTTTTACAAAAAGCAGCATTCCCTTTAATATCGGCAAGGTGTTTCTTGAATTGGTTAATACTCTCATTGGTATCTTTTTCACAAAAATTACACCTTATACAATTTTTATTATTTGGTTTCAGGTTATAACTATACTTCCAACTCGGATCACTTCTTCTCGCAAAACCAGAAAGAGATATATCCAAATGACAAGGATTTTGTTCCTGTTTGTGTTTTACTGAACTCATATATTAGTTAATCTCCTCTCTGATAGGTTCACGAACATTTTTACAAGGGGCAACATTCCCCTTAATACCGGCAAGATGTTTCTTAAACGGGTGTGCCCCATTTTGTATCCTTTTCACAATAATTGTATCTTGCGCAATTTTTGTCATTCGGATTCGGTTTATATCCATATTTCCATCCTAGATCACCACTTCGACTAGATCTTGAAGAAGACATCTCAAAATAATACAAGCAATCTAAAAGATACAGTTTTCCACTTACTTGGATTACTCAAACTCCAAACTTCCACCTCTGAGATGTTTTTTGGTGCTAAAATATTCAAAAACACCCTCTAATAGGCCTAAAAATATTTCAAAACTAAATCTAATCTTAATGGGTGATGTTTGGATCCATTTCCCATAACTTTGAGAAACACTTCGATCCAATGAAAATCACAAATTCTAGGTTTTCTTTTTCTTTTTCTTTTTTTTAAGGTTTCTCTCTCTCTAAAATGGGCTCTAGTGGGTTTAGATTTCAAATGAATCTAAAACCCATCTTTAAAAAAAAATTTGAAAAAAACAATCAACAAATGGTATTTCCACCCCCTGAGTGCTGGGTGTCGTACTGCCTAGGGACCACCCGTCTAGTTTGGCCAGCTAGGACTGAGCGCCCAAGCCTTCTAGACCACTTAGGCACTTGACAGTCCGTTTTTTAAATCACTGGTTAGATTAAGACTTATTTAATCTTACCTTGATCGTGTCGTTTTTTACCTAATCATTGAAACATATATGGAACAAAAAAGGGTTTCCATTTTAAGTTAAGAACATGAATAGGGTACATTGTTCCAAAAGGTGGACCGCCTAGCACCTAGGCAACTCCCTGGGCGAGACGCCCTGCCCCGGGGCAGAAATGCCCCTCATTGAAGGGTATTTTTGGATCTTTTAGAAAAATATGAGGGGAAAAGGTTTTAGGTTCATTTCAAACCTAAACCCCATTAGAGTCCATGTGATTTCCCTAGATTGTAGGGGCTCTTCCTACTCGGTCCAGGTTCTAGGAGCCCGCCTAGACGCTAGGCAGGCTGGAACCCCCGGCCGCCTAGGCACCACCCAGCGTTTTTTGGAACATTGATAGGGTACTTTGATTTTTTTTTATTTTATTTTTTTTATGTGAAAAAATTCACATCATAGATACTAGGTATTTTCATGCTAATATTTTTCTTTTTTGTGAATGTCAGGTATTTTCATTCGTTATTAGTTTTTTCTAACAAACGAAAACATCCCTTATAAGGGGTAATTCTTAATTTGTAATGCAGGCCAACTTCACACAACAAATTTCATATCCAACATTCATGTCTTTAAAGGCATTTTTGGGCCCCAAATGCTCAAGAAAATCACAAAACGGATTTTCACCTCATGGGCATTGTGCCACTGTTTCTAAAATGGGATAATAATAGTGATTTAAACATTAGAATGAAAAGTTATGTGTATACAAAGTAGGGATATTGTTTCACAAATGTTTATGTAGGACGGTTTTGTCTTATTTTATTGTGCCAAGGTTAAAAATGTCTAATATGAATTCTATTTTTAATTAGCAGTTTTAATTATACTAGAACTAGGATTAGGGGTCCTATAAAGTGTATAACTTAGGGTTTTCATTTAGAGTTAATTATTTCCTTCAACAACATTGTTTCTTTGGATTCTATTCAATTTGGAGAGCCATTGAAGCTAGACTTGTTAGCTTCCAGTTCTTTTTTTTTTTGTTTTGGGAAGCAGTTAACTGTTAGCTTCCAGTTCTTGTCAATCAAATTATCAGAGTTTCTTTTCTATTCTTCTCAGTTTATTCAAACTTCCACCAATTGGTATCAGAGCAGATCGTCTCCAAAAGCATCCTAAAATCTGCTGCAAATTTGAGCAATGGCTAGAGGAGCTTGGACCAACACAGGAAGAATTCCAAGATTTGATGAGGAGATTTGAAGATTTGGTGCTAGAAGTGTGCCACAACTACTGTGAATAACAATCTACCATTCATGACAATGAAGTGTCTGAAACTGAGGAGGAGAACCCATTCCACAACCAGGGGAGAAAAATCACGTTAGAAAATTGTGCAGTTTGTGCTCTTTAAGCATAACAAGGAATTCGGGTTGATATTCCTAAATTTTCAGGAAGATCACATTAGCAGACTTTACAGATTGGATTGCCAATGTAGAATATCTTCTTCGAGTGGAAATAATTAACAGAAGAAAAGAAGGTAAATTTTGTAGCTAACAGTTGAAGGGCCATGCCTTAATCTGCTGACAGCAGTTGCAGGCAAGTCAAGTTTGTAAAATCAAGTCTAAACTTGTGACTTGGAGGAAGATGAAATCATGAAAGGAGAAGTTTGTTCCCTCAAATAATGCAGAAGCCCTATATAAGAGACTTTATCATCTTCATCAAAAGTAGTTGATCATGCAAGAATACACACGAGTTCTAGCTATTGATGATCGAAAACGAGATAAATGATAATGATGCTCGGCTCGTTGCAAGGTATAAAACTGGACCAAAATTTCAAATTCAAGACGAGTTAATTTTGCATAGAACATTAGTCTTGAGAAGGATATAAGCAAAAAGTTGAAACAAAGTTGAGGAGGGGCTCTGTAAATCATTCTTTCGATTGGAGGAACATCTTTGGTTAAAAAGGGGCGTGTTGCAAATCAAAACCCAGAGAAGTTGTTGGCTCAAGTTCAAAAACAGGTGATGCATCTAAAGCAGCAATAGGCCCAGCTGCAATATAATCTGTGAACAATGGCCCAAGTATTTTAAATGCGGCAAGCCTGGGCATTGATCCTTTTAAATGCGCCAAAAAGCAGTACACAGTTACATGACGGGGATGAAGATTATAAAGAAGATATTGATGCGAGGTCTATTTATGACAAGGAGCTTGATGAAGAACCTGAAGGCAGTGATGATATGTATCTCGATGAAAGAAAATTTCTTGTCATCAGGCGGTTATTAACAGCCTTAAAGATGATTGAGGAGCCTTGACTTTACATCAATATCTGCACAAGGTGTACAGCCCAGGTCGCACCATCATTTTGATAGCAGGAGTTGCAGCAACATGGCATCACAGGAGATTATG